TACATCATAAGCATAGAAGAAAATGTTATGTGTATCTTCTTTAGGTTTATGTCTGGCTCTCCACACGAACACTGAGGCCATCTTAAGATTTAAAGTGGCTGGCAGGTGGGCCTTTGGTTGTGTTGCGACCACACAACTTGCAGTTGGTCTAGTTTTCTCAACACACTAGCTGTTTTATTTTGATTGACAGTTTGACACACAAGTTACTTGCCTAGCTGTGCCACTTTGTGTGGGCCTGCATCACTGCCAACTCAGTTATCCCTCTATGGCTAGGTACCACCATATAAATCACACAAGACTAACAATAACAATCTGCCACGTACCACTATATAATGCACATAAACTTTTTCTCAACAAAATTAATAATAAAGAAGGAAATACACACAAGATAGTTTGTTTCTGAGTCCACATAAATTATTTTAAAAATCCACATAAATCCATTAATACTATATATTTTTTATTTATTAGTCATCATAGGACTTTCTTACCAGAAAAATCCTACTTGATTATGTTTTCAAATGTAGAGGATATATATGTTCCAGGTTGGCTCATCTCAACCAATTTTTTCTTTTGTGTTCATTGTTTTTTCACCCGTTTCTTTTTTTGCCCAAGCTTTTCCTTTTTTTTCTTCTTTTGGATTTTACATATTTTCACTTTTATTATTTTTATTAATAAATATATTTGTCTATCCAATATTTTTTTTGAATACACATTAAATATTTGTTAAGACATGGTGAATTTTTGGATATACAACAATTTTTTCCAAACATACATCAAACATTATAAAATTAATGGTTAACATTTTTTACATACACCACAAACCCAAACATTCTTCAGCAAACAACACACAACAACCATTTTTTAAATACAAACTAAAAATATATGTTTAATACACAACAAACATTTTGAATCATGTGACAAATGTGTTATGAATATTTTTAACATACACAATGAATATTATTTAATTTGTGATGAGCATTTTTTTCATGCATGTTTGTACGTAATTTATATATATTTTTAATAGTCTGTGTGGCATGTTAATCAAACACCCCCCCCACCCCCCCACAAAAAAAAGAATGGACGTTACTAGCCGCCCTATCGTGGGTG